CTGAGCTAAAGTCGGACGCTCAACTGACTGAGCCACCCAGGCGCTCCTAAAAGTTATTTTTAATGAGTGGTTGAGACTATACTCAGATCAAATGTGACAAGAGAAGTACAACTTTGTGTATGTTTTAGTCTTTCAAAGAAAAAAAAAGTCATGTTGTTCTAAAGCTGTGATCTTCACACATTTTGGTCTTTGGATCTGTTTTTCCTCTTAAAACTTGTTGGGGGTCTGAAATAGCTTTTATTTATGTGGGGTATAACTACCAATATTTACTGTATCAGAAATTAAAACTAAGAATCTCTTATACTAGAGTATCAGCTTGTTCCAAATATGAAAGAGCATATAAGGACAAAACTTGCAAAGTGAATTTTGTCTTGATTCATAAAAACTAAGTCTGAAAAGAAGCTAAGAAATGTGTTAACATTTTTTTTTTTAATTTTTTTTTTGAACGTTTATTTATTTTTGGGACAGAGAGAGACAGAGCATGAACGGGGGAGGGGCAGAGAGAGAGGGAGACACAGAATCTGAAGCAGGCTCCAGGCTCTGAGCCATCAGCACAGAGCCCGAGGCGGGGCTCGAACTCACGGACCGCGAGATCGTGACCTGGCTGAAGTCGGACGCTTAACCGACTGTGCCACCCAGGCGCCCCATTACTGTGAGATTTCTAAGAGTGCACCCAAGAAGCACCATCTATGTTTCTAACACACACTCTCAGCAGCAGGATGCATTAATGTATCAAAACTGAGGTTTTACCTCATGGTAAATTACTGTTCTGAAAACAAGATTACCCCTTTTCTTCAGGATAAATTAGCAAAAAGCTCTTTACAGATTCAGATTACAGAAAAGTCTTTATGATTGTCTAAATCAATCATTGAGGATGTGCTATGTGCTAAGAGCTGGGAATATCAGTGAGAGTAAAACAACCCCTGACTATCTACCACATTAGCCCAGAGGTGACCTGTAAGCAGGCTGGGGTCGGAGGATGACCTTCAGCGATAAAGACAGGCTCAGAGCACAGAATATTAGTTTTAAGAGACCGAGGAGAGGACCTAATAACCTGGGAAAGGGGGAGATAGTATAGGCTTAGAAGGCTTGCAGGAAGAGGTGACACATGAGCTAAGTGTTACTGATGAGAGGAGGAAAAAGGCGTTCCCAGCAGAGGCATAAGAAAGGCTAAGGGTGAAAAAGAGCTGGGGGCAGAGGGGTGGCAGGGGGAGTGCTGCAGGGAAAGGTGAAAGCTAGGGAAGCAAGGTTCCAAATTACCCAGGTGAAATACCTCAAGTTCCTTTAGTAATCACTTATCCAATCTCAACTAAATGTTTCAGCACAGCACAGTGAAAGTTCTCTACGGTCACCATGCTGACAAGCTCAGTGAATTATTCAGAATTTCTTTTCTGAAAATGATTCTCTTGAACTAGTCAGTGGCCAGTCAGCACTCGTTCATTTCACTCCTCCACGAGGCACACTGGATGGCTCAGCACAGCATTACAGAGTTAAATTTATGCTCTCCTGACAAGTTGAAACTGCCTCTGTATTAATAGCTGTAATTGTGACATATAGTTAATTCTGTTATCAAAGGGTAGGTTATTCCATTTTTGGATTTCCCAGACTTTTATTAGCTTGCCTCGGATAATGTCAGTACTCAGCAAACCGCACGGATTCAAATAACAGCTCAGCTGCCTACAAGCCTGTGTGCGCACAGGCAAGCCAATTACATCTCAACCTTCCTTATACATGAGCACATAACAGTACCCACCTTACAGAGTTGTTATAAGGATGAAAGGAGTTATTAAATATAAAACACTCAGAGCCTGGAATAGGATGAGTGCTTGCTGTTCACTGGTATCATTGCTACTAAATTATTCCTTCTATGCTTCTATTCTACCATGCCAGTATGGAGCCTGGCAAGGCAAGTATGTAGACAATTCAAGAAGGAAATGGTCATAATTTTATGACCAAATACAAGTCTTTCTTGCTTTTCAGTTGTTTAAAATGTTTATTTATTTGAGAGACAGAGAACATGCCCGAGGGGCAGAGCTAGGAGACAGAGAATCCCAAGCAGGCTCCATGCCACCTTGGAGCCTGATGCATGGCTTGAACTCTCAAACCATGTGGTCACGACCTGAGCCAAAACCAGGAGTCAGATGCTTAATTGACTGAGTTACCCAGGTGCCTCTTGCTTTTCAATTACTACTAGTTTTCCTACAGTTTTGAGACATTATCATTACCATCCATCTCCCTCATTAGCTTTACTGCCAGGACTCAAAACCCCTCTGTTCTTTTTCATTGTTGTAGGCTGCTTAGTTGTTCCCGTACCTAAGCAATAGTAAGAAACAGATACCTTGAAACAACTTCTGACCTGGGCCTGAAGAAAGCTTCCTTTATTTCCTAACCACAGTTTAGACCCTGAAAGCTTGCAGTCACCTGCCTGTATATATCCCTGCCATTAACTGGCGAGTGAAAGGAATACTTTGAATGTCAAAGACCTATTATAGAAAACCTGCAGGAAGCAAGTGTCATTTCAAAACAGATGTCTTGGTCTCTAAGGCCTTTAATCAACAATGACAGGACTGCTGCTCCAAGCCACAAGGACAGAAGGTGCCATTCTTATTAAATGATGTGAAAAGCACTTACTCATCAAGTTCTTTACAAAGTTTATTGAGTACAGAGATTCTCTGAGAAACCAAAGCCTCAAGTCTTCCGGCAGGGATCTGATCAAGAGTGGAATCTTTCTTTTTCTGAGCACATAACAGTATATATGAGGCACCCAGACGCCTCTGGAGTGTATCTTTTAAGAATTCTAAAAGCAACTACACCATATTGAATCTTAATCTAAATATAGGAGCATGGATACCCAATTTGATTAGTTCTACATTAGTAATCATGTTCAGAACCTCTATGCCCTTCATCATTCCCTTCCTTAAAACTGTAAAGACTCTATACCCACAATGTAAGAACCATGATGTTTTCAAGGGACAGTACTAGCTGAAAACAAGAGTGCTAGGGACAAAACTGACGCTGATAACCTGTGGCCTACAAAGTGATTCCTACAAATGGACTTTGGACAAGTGCAAAACCTCAGCCATTGAGCAATGTTGGCTAACAAACCAAAAGATGTTAGGTACAAACTATTCAGATAAGCTTTTCTAATTCAAATGTCTTGTAATTTTCCTGGGAACCTACCTGGCGCTTTAAAATTAAAATAGCTTAGGGGCGCCTGGGTGGCTCAGTCGGTTAAGCGGCTGACTTTGGCTCAGGTCATGATCTCGTGGTCCGTGAGTTCGAGCCCCGCGTCGGGCTCTATGCTGACAGCTCAGAGCCTAGAGCCTGTTTCAGATTCTGTGTCTCCCTCTCTCTGACCCTCCCCCGATCACGCTCTCTGTCTCAAAAAGAAATAAACGCTAAAAAAAAAAAAATTTAAAATTAAAATAGCTTAGGGGCACCTGGGTGGCTCAGTCAGTTGAGTTTCCGACTTCACCTCAGGTCATGATCTCGCGGTCTGTGAGTTCAAGCCCCACATCAGGCTCTGTGCTGACAGCTCAGAGCCTGGTGCCTGCTTCGGATTCTGTGTCTCCCTCTCTCTCTGCCCCTCCCCCACTCACAATCTGTCTCTCTCTCCTTCAAAAATAAATATTAAAAAAACTAAAATTAAAATAGTTTAAAATATATAGTTTAAGAATAGTTAAAAAAATGTTTTCCTTCACATTCTTATTTTATTTTGAATTGTGGTGCTCGATCTCACAACTGTGAGATCACAATCAAGAGTTGGTCACTTAACCAACTAAGCCACCTAGGCGCCCCCACATTCTTATTTTAAAATAAAAAGAGAAGTTAATTAATTTGCTCAAGATCACAGAGTTAAAAATGGGAAAGATAGTACAATTTTGATCTTCTAGCTACTGGTTATTATACAACTACCACTCACTGCCTTTCCAAAGGGTCTCGTGATACTCCTTCAGTTATTTCACAAAAAATTAAATAATCAGAATTAAGAACAGATCATTATAGGCTCTATTACCCAATTAAGTATCATTGCTTACACCTGAACAGCACCTCCTCAACTACAGGCACTCAACTATTTTAAGGCTTTATATCAGGGAACAAAGTAGGTAAGGTCTCTGCCCCCGTGGAATGTACATTCTAATTGTGAGAAGACTGAAAAGAAAAATGAGTCAGCCACTCAAACTCAAAGAATGACTAAAAGGTCACACCCATAGGGATTTTCACCAAGCGCTTTAAGTAAGCTTTAGGACACGCAGCCAAATTTATAAAACAATAATTATTTTAAGGTTACTACAATGTTGAAAGACTTTCTCTTGCCCATCGTTTAGGCACCCCTTTCCAAACTGGCTGCATGAATGATAACCACTCCCTAATTTTGGCTCACTAGGTAGCATGGCTTAAAGAGCACACCTTGACATAGGGCCAAGGAGGAGCCAAATCTGGGAGAGAAGGAGCAGTGAAAGCCCAGACAAAATTGTACTGCCAAGAGTGCGAGGCTCCGTAAGGACACACTTCTGCTGACTTGAAGACAACACGCATACAATCAAAGGAAAGGCCAAGGCACATAAGAGGCCAAGGCTTTGCTCCTTGTAGTCAATATATAGCTGGAGGTGGGCTGGAGACTAGATTCATTAGATGGTACTTAAGGATCCTGTCCCAAATCGCCTTCTTGAGTGAATCAATCGCCTGGCTCAGGTCTCCACTAGGAAGGAATTACTGATTCGCTTTAAACTCCGTGCTTTTTAATGGCAATACTTAGCACGCAGGGCTTAATGACATATTTATAATTTTTTGAGTGGCACCTGTTTCCCCGTCAGGCATGTTCACCGCAGCCTCCATCGTTAGCATAGGGTCTAGTACCTGGCTCATAGCTGACGAAGTATTTACTGAATGAGAGCAGAGCGAGGTGGAGAGGGAGAACGGTGACTTCTCTACAATCAGACCCCCTAAGGGCAAACAAAACGGAGGTGAACTACACCTCTGTTTTTTTCCAAGCAAAGGGGTCACCGGCGACATAGGCGGTAACGCGGCTGGGAGGATGCCGCGCGCCAAGGTCAGGGGATGCAGAAAAGAAAGCTGGGCTGAAAAGCCAGGGCCTCCGCGGGGTACCTTCCTCTCGAGTACTTCCTACTCCCAGGCCCACGACCGGCAGTACGCCGCGGCCCTACAACCCTGCTTAGGCCAGAGGGCGGCCGCGATAGGTGAGCCCCGCCGTGCCCCAGGGCAGCCCATCAAGGGCACCCGCGCCCCTCCGCGCCTCAGCCAATCGGTGCGAGGCAGCCTCGGCGGCGCAGCCAATGGGCGCCAGGCCGTCCGGGCCCGGCACCTCAGCCCCGCTGGCTCTCCCCTCGCCACCCCACCCCCACCGCGCCGAATTCGCGTCTCGTGACCCCCCACCCTTGAATGGAAGTCCGGGTGCCGTAGAAGGCCACACTGCCTAACCCCGGGGAACGCGCTGACACGTTCTCCTGCAGTCCTGGGGGCAAAAGAGGGGAGGGATGTAGGACCCCGAGGGTTACTTTGAGGCGCCGGCGCTCAATTTTCAGCGCCCAGCGAGGCCGAAGGGGTGTCAGAGAAAGCATGTGTGTGGTGCTTGCGTTTGGGGGGAGGGGGGATATGTCCGGGGGCGCCCGCAGCCCGGATGGGCAGGCCTGTTGTCCCCAGCTCCGTCTCCGTCTGTCCTGCTTACCTGGCTCTGGCAGAAGCCGCGGCAGCGAGGCCCGGGTGGAAAGCGGCGGCGACCCCGGACAGGACGCGGCCGGTGTGCAGCAGGGCCATAGTGGGCGGCGAGAAGGCAGTGGGTAGCTGCAGGACGGAGCGGAGGGCCAGCGGGCGCACACACCGAGGCGCGGGCTGCTTCTGAAGGTAAGGACAGCGACTTCCCGGGGGCGGCTAGAGCGGCCGCCCGCCGGTCTGAGCCGCGTTACAGCGCACCCTGGCGGCCGGAGCGCAGCGGCGAGGCCAAGGCTGAGCGGTGGGTGGGCGGGGCGGCCCCGGCGCACCACGCCCCTCCAAGCCAACTCCGGCCACGTGGTTCCGGAGAATGGTGACGACACCGTATATTAAGGTTCAAAGAGCTTGAAAACCTTTTTCGTTTAATCACCGTGGACCGGACAGTAGAGGTAGTTGCTTTTATGCCAGTTTGAAACATGAGAAAATTTAGGCTGATGTAGTTGAAGTAGTTTGCCTACAGCCATACATCCAACTGAGTATTTCGCTAAGTACGTATCACTTCACCTTCTTCCCGAGTGTGTGTGTGTGTGTGTGTGTTTAAATCTCTGTTTGTAGAAGATAACAGGCCTGTCTCGTGGGGTATTTGTGAGGATTAAGTGAGATTAGCCGCTTATGTCTAAAAACAGGGCTTGGTTTAGTAAGCACGAGATAACCTGTGGTTGTTAATGACAAACTTGTGTTTGTCAAATCCTGCAGTTGTGTGTGGAAGGGAATTAATCACTTTTAAAGGAAAAAGTGAATAAATCAGAGATCCCAGAAGTTGAATGATTCTAACAAGTCCACTCTAAAGAATGGCCATTTCTGGACGCCTGGCTGGCTCAGTGGTGGAACTTGCCACATTTGATCTCAGGGTGGTGGTGGGTTCAAGCCCCACATTAGGTGTGGAACCTTCTTTAAAAACAAACAAACAAACAAACAACCCCCTGCAGAAACGGCTAAAGAATGGCTGTTTCTTTGACACTTCTCTAACCCCAACTGTGTCCCTTGCTGATGTAATTTATCCTCTGTGGCATCCATTGCCTGAATGAATAAGTCCAAATACCTATCTAGGGTCATATTGTAGGCCCTTCCCAGTCTAGCCCCAACTGTCTCAGACTCATCTGCTCACTCTCTGACCTCAATTTATGTTCCCACAGGCCAAGTCTTTTGATTCCACCACTACATTCGCTTCTTACAGCTGCTCTAACAAATTACCATGAACTGTATGGTTTAAAACAACAGAAATGTATTGTTTTACAGTTCTGGAGGCTAGAGACCCCAAATCGAGGTGTCAGCAGGGAGTCCCCGAGACAGGAATCTGTTCTCTGCCACTCCCAGCTTCTGGCAGCTGCCAGCAAGCAGTTCCCTGCCAGCAAGCAGTTCCTTGACTTGTAGACCTATCACTCGATCTCTGCCTCTGTCTTCACATAGTGTTCTCTCCCTGTGTGTATCTCTGGTTCTCTTCTTGTAGGACACGGATCATATTGGATCAGGGCCCACCTTAGTGGTTTCATCTTAAGGTGATAACATCTGCAAAGACCCAACTTGCAAATAAGTCACATTCACAGGTACCTGGGATTGGAACATATATTTTGAGGGGATGCATTTCATCCCATAACCATCACTATTGTTAAGACCTAGCAATTATACTTCCAGCTATAGACCCCAGAGGCCTCGTACATATATAAGGATGTTAGTGAAGCATTGTTTATGAAAGAAAAATGCAGGAAATAATCTAGTTGCTCATCAATAGGTAAATAGATGTGCTGTTATACTCACATGATGGAGCGCTGTAGAGCTACTGACATGAACGAACTCAATTTATAGGTATCAAAATTGATAAACCGTAAAAATATTAAAAAGCAAGTTGCAGAACTATAGGTTAGTATGGCACCACTTAGATAAAATTTTAACATTCACAAAATCATTTCATATATTCATTTGTAAATGTATGTAAAGTTTGAAAAAATACTCCAAGGATACAGTTCAGTACAGGATCAGGCCCTTGTGGAGGGAATGACACAACTTTGTCATATTTGTCTCATAAAAAATTACAGGTAATATTAACAATGGTCATCATTTTGGGTGTGTATCTTTGTTATACTGGTCTCTGTAAAATATATATATATTCAAGTTTCTCATACAACAGCTGATTTGAGTTACTGGTAGGAAAGACAGATGGGAAGGGACAGACCTTACAAAGTAGGGCGACTAGGTAGAGAGAAGGTTGACACGGTAACCCAGGGAAGAAATTCTGATTGTCTGAGTTCAGTGCAAGTGGCAGTGGTTGAGAAAAGATTACAGATCTGGGATATATCAAGGAGGTATATGAAAAGGGTTTGGTGATTAGATGCAGGGAGAGGTGGAAAAGGGGTCTGAAATAATTGCCAGTATATCAGCTAAAACTGGGGTTGTCTGCAAGTCATAGTGACCCCAAATAACTGGCTTAGACAAGATGAAATTTACTTCTATGACTTGAAAATCTGGATATAAGTAGTCCAGGGCTGGCATGGCATTTCTGCCCCACAAAGTCCTCAGGGACCGAGGTACTTCCAGCTTGTGACTCTGCCCTCCCTAAGTGTGGCTCTCAACCAGTGATCCCAGGTAGTAGCCACATGTCTCCATTCCAGCCAGGAGTCGAAAGGAAGGGGCAAAGATAAAGTGCAAAGGGTCCACACTAGCCATCATTTAAAGGAGCTAATAGGAGGCAGAACGTGGCAAAGATCAGATGGAGGAGAGGGAGCCAGCAGAGGGCCCAGGAGAGAGGACTCGGTTCCAGTTGTAGAAATCAGAGAGCTATCTGGTCACCAGAGATTGACAAAAAGCTTTGCTGGCAAATCAATAACTCCTCTCAACCAAAAGCCCCACATTCTCTACTCCAATAGACTATAGAAACTTATAGAACTCTAGAAACTGAAAGGGCTTTCAGAGCTCATTTAGGACAGTACTTCTCACACTGTAGTGTGCATCAGCACTGCCCAGAGGTTTGGTTAAAATGCAGATTCTGATTCAGCAGGTGTTGGGAGGAACCTGAGATTCTGCTTTTCTAAGCTCCCTGCTGAGGGCCATGCTGCTGGCCAGTGGACCACATTTTGAGTAGCACAGATCTAGACCGTACCTTGCCAGCCCTTTATAGGTATCACAGGAAGCTTGTGTCTCCAACTCCAGACTTCCTACTATATATATGGAAAATCTGAAGCCAGAAGAGGGAAGTATTGCATAAGGTCACACGGCCAGCTAGGGTTTGAGACTAGAATCAAAAGCACAGATGAAGGATAGATTCCTTTGTACTTATTTCAGCACCACTTGCAGGTATTTCAGAGGATCCTTGATCTGCTCCCAGCCCTGAGTCAGCCCCTTGGTGGCCTTTCCAGGAATCTTCTCAGGGCTCCAGGCCCAGGCTATAGGAAAGGTCAGCCTTCAGGCCGCAGGGAGGAAAGTGCTAGTCTCCCCCAGTCCGGAGGACTGAAGATCCTTAAAGAAAGGAAGAGTTCTGCACAGACTCATGGCTGTTTTGGGGAGCACTCTGATCAACACCTGGGAGGATGAAGGAAGCAGCCCCAAAGAGTTGTCTTGAATTGAGGCAGTGGGGCCTACCTTTTGTACCTGTGCATCGACTCCCCCTCCCAAACTCCCTCTTGCCTCATCCTGCTGAGTGACCTTGCCTGGGCAAGTGGATGCTTCAGTGGATAGAGGGGCGGGGGACCTGAGCGGCACCCCAGAGCGTCTAGTACACAACTGTGTATATAAAATCTGTAAGGAGAGTACTTGCAGTGCTCGTGTGTGTGTGTGTATAGCGTATATGGACATGCCTGTCTTTGATGTCTGTGGAGGGCATGCGTGTGCACGTGGGGGTGATCGTGTTTGAGTGAGACTTTGTGTTTGGCATTTGTGTGCATACGTGACGTCAGTGGTGTGTTTCTTTGCAGATGACCATGTACATGCCTGTTTGCATGCGGGTATTCCATATGTGGGAGTGGTGGGGAGTAGTTGTGTGCAACTTTTCAAGTATCAGGACCACAAAGCTCTGTGGCCTCCTGTTGCTAGGGAGGAGAATGAGGGGGAACCTCTTAAGGCAGGGTGGGATGCTGGGCCTCCAACTGGACGGAGAAAGGGATAGTGCTGGGTGAGAGGGCCACCTCATTTGAGGAGGTAGCTCTTTCTTTGGACTGACCAGGCTCTTTTTTTTTTTTTTTTAAATTTTTTTAATTTTTTTTTTCAACGTTTATTCATTTTTGGGACAAGAAGACAAAGAGCATGAAGAGCAGAGGAGAGGGAGCAGAGAGAGAGGAGACACAAGAATCGGGAGGGAAACGGAGGCTCCAGGCTCCTGAGCCATCAGCCCCAAACCTGGCCAGCGGGGGCACCGAACCACAGGACGAGATGGTAACCTGGCTGAGAGGCAGGACTGGCTTGTGGGCTTCGCCACCCAGCAGCCGATGGCTCTTTTGTATCCCTCACAGCCCTTGTCCTCTGTGCCCAGCCTTAGGAGAAACACAAGCCTCAGAAGAATAGCTTAAGGGGGATGTCTGGGGCCAGAGCACTGCCTGCCAGTCGACCTCCCTCCCTGGCAGGAGGTGAGGGAGGAGTAGTTTCTGGGGGACCTGGTCCTCCTCGGGAGTGCAGTGAGCTCCCGGCTCTGAATATCCTGGTTTCTGGCTGGTGGGCCCCTCTGTAAGAGCTACCTTCTCACAGAGTGTCTGCAAACACTTTCACCATATGTTGAAATTATACTCTGAAAAGCCCACCTACCCATCTCTACCTGAGAACTCTAAGGATTTTTTTAATACATGAGTGAAAAAAAAAAAAAAAATACTTTGTTGATTATTATTATTATTTTTTATTTTTTAAAAAAATTTTTTAACGTTTATTTATTTTTGAGACAGAGAGAGACACAGCATGTGAGCAGGGGGAGGGGAGGCAGAGAGAGAGGGAGACACAGAGATAGGAGGAAGCAGGCTCCAGGCTCTGGCCATCAGCCCCGGAGCCTGACGCGCATGAGGCTTTCGAACTTCCGTGCCTCTGCGGTCGTGACCTGAGCTGAGAATCGGACACTCTTAACCAGCACCGACTAGACTTGAAGCCCGAAAAATACTTTATTAATGGTGTCCTTCTGTGGCTCCCCTGTCATACAGC